GACCAGCAGCGGGGATGACACCCGAACTGGTAGGAGACCAGAGGTAACCGTACCCGACCTGACAGAAGCTTAGGAGTGAGTGCACGAAGTGGCTATAAAAGGCCCCCTACCCCCAAGAACAAGGTATGCAAACTTTGCGCTATCTGGTTTTATCTTGCCTTTGAAGGATTCTAACTTGAGCTTCGGAACCTCCACACCGGGTTCCCCCCGGAGCTTCCTCATCTTCTCTGTTTCAGGTTCCCCGCAATTCCGTTCAGAGACAAGGTCGTTGACAGCTAAGACCGGCCGAATTGCGCACCATCAATTCTCATTCAGATTTCTGTATGAATCAAACAAATAAGAGGAGTAAATCCAAAGGATTTTTCCATTCAGACTCCAATTCTGATTCCAACCCTTAATTATATTGATAATTGAGATACGGATGGATCTTATTTTTGGATGGAAGCAGTAGTTATATATATTCTCAAATAGGTAGTAGGTGGATGAATATACAACTTGTATATAGTTGATTAAACGAGCCTACAATGCAAATGCAATGATCATGCACACAAATGAGACTGGATTTGCTCCTTACAAAGCATGCCTTACATTGACCTCACAGCATATCCTAATGGGGAACATCTCCCTTATTTATATTTATTATTCATAGGAAGATATTTCCAATACAGGACTGAATATGATTGTGAGATCGGTGTAAAACGTGCTGTATGAGGAACATATACCAATTCCACACAGATAAGATTACACATTACCAAAAAAAACAAACGGTAGCAATGGCAATAAATTAAAGGGTAAATTTGTTAAACTACTGTTATGGTTTAACTAATTGATTAAGTGTATTTTTACTGTTTGAAAATTGACTAATACTACTCTTAGTGACAATTGACCAACTCTACCTTGTTCTTAAAGTCAATTCTCCGTCACACTCTACGCACATGTGACTCTACATGATCTATACAATTTTTTTTTAAAACCCAATATTACCCTCGTACCTGAGCCCCCACTCTCTCTCTTCTAATACCTCCTCCCCCTTGCCTTTGTCTCTTTTTGGTCTCTCTCTCCATTCTCAACCTCTAGTCTCTCTCTCCCCTCCGCCCCTCTGTTTTCTTTGGAAGAGGGCTTATTGCCGCCGCCGGAGCGAGAAAGGGGTGGCGCTGATTCTCCGCTGTGTGCAGCTGCCAGCCTTCACAGGGGCTGACGAAGCCAGCCTTCAAATGAACTCGTCCGACTACCAACGATATTTCCTATACATTAACAGCGAAACCGAGGAAGCCTCCGCTGCGACAGAAGAGAAGAAACCCGCCGTTTGTTTCAGCGGTTGTGGTCGTGGTGTTCCGAGTCTCTGGTTATGTCCAGTAAACTCGGCCGGCCAGATGATGGAAGAGCTCCAACTTCAACTTCGTCGCTTATGTAAATTTTCCTACTCTAAATTTTATGTGGACTACTTACCAAGTTACCATTTGAACGATATAGTAGTTGTAACAGTCGTAAAAATTCTCTCGAAGAAGTAGAGAGAGAGAGAGAGAGAACATACCGGAGCAACGTTTTCCGCTGCGCCGTCCATCCTCACAAAAGCAGAAGAGGTCCGTTGTAGAATTGGAAGAGTAAGCACAATAGCCACCAGATTCCTCACACGCAACGCAATCTCCAATGTCTCCCCAATCTAACTCAAACCCCCTTCGCAAGGCCCTGACAAACCCATCCGTCATACTGAAAACATTCGTAATCGCTTCCTCCATAACCGTGGTAACCACTTTTGGCGCGCAGTCCCTATGCCAATCAAGCCTCTCCGAAATCTTGTCTGACTCGAAAACCAAGGACTGGTTACCGCCGGATGCAAGGCAGGATAAATTCATGTATTTGGTGCGCTGGTGAGGGTGACATTATGTTTTGCCTTTGGACATATTGCACTGCCGGTAAGTACGTGGGCGTCGATCAAGGAGAGGGTCTTTGTTTCATAATTGATGCCGGTGACATTGTAGGTATCAGTGGGTGCAAAAATGACAGGGATGCAAGTGCTGAAATCAACCACTGAGTTCAGTGTTTCTTTCTCATTTTTTCTGTTTTATTTTGAAAATTTGAAAAGTAATAAAGGGTAAAATAATTTTTGTCTTTTTTATTAAGGGATAGTGTGTGTATTTTCAAATAGTAAAGATACACTTAGTAAATTAACTAAATGGTTTAAAAAATTTACCCTAAATTAAATAAAATATCTGATGGACCTTGTCTTCATGCGTAAACACTACCTGCTGCTATAGCGTAGGTTGTCCCCATGTGACTTGAGCCAAGCCTACCTTGCCTAACACGGCAACCTTTACATGGTATACTAGCTACAAAGTACAAACTCAACTTTGACCCTTCGGAAAAACTTAATTTGGCTGTTTTGCCTGCACTGTTACGAAGACATCTGATGAGGAGTGTGGGTAAAATTGTACTTATACATCACTTTTTAATTGAAAAGATAACTAAGGACCTGAATTAGTTAAGATGTCATGCCCAGAGGATACCAAAACTTGGAAACAGCCAAAGTGATCTCAAAATGCCTCATCCCTTTCTGCCATTAGAAGTTCTCTGAATGCAAGATTCAGAACCAATCTCCCGATATTTCGTTAGCTAGCTTAGCTATACTTTTTTAAATGAATCTATAATATTCGATAAGGTTAAATCACATTTAGGATGCGGATCGCATTGGACTAAATGGGTTTCTGGAAGCTACGTGGAATGAATTATTTCGTTTTGTTTTTTTCGTGGAATTTGAAGGTGCAACTTTATTATATTTGTAAAATGGAATTTTTTAATAAATAAATAAATAATTTTGTTTCTGCTTTTATTTGCGGTGTTTCTAACTTCTAAAGGTGCATTAGCCTCATAAGCCATTACTTTCTAAAATCCACAGATATGGTAAGATATGATATACTTATCACCAATTCACCATGATTAGAATAAGTAAAACAGGTAGATTTTCTGTTTTAGAATCTCTTTATGCTCATAGTTTGACTACAAAGTTGATTTGTGAACTATATTTTAAAAAATTCTGTATGAAGTAACCATATGACGAGGTTAACTTTGTCCTAGCGATGCTAGGTTGGTCTCCTGTGTCAACTACAATAAATTGTGGCATTGAAAAGCATTAAGAGCCTGTTTGGTTTGCAATCAGAATTGGAATTGAAATTCCTTTGAATCAGAATTAAAAGTCTATTCCTCCATCTTGTTTGGTTTAGATGGGAATTGGAATCAGATTCCATTAGAACAGATTCTCATTTTCAAGGGAAGGGGAGGGGGAGGCAAATAGCCATTTCCTCAAATGGAAAAAATGCCCTTCCACTAGGAATGGGAATAAGATCTTGATTCCACCCAACCAAATGGTAGGAATGGACCATTCTGATTCTGATTCCAGATCCTTATTCCTGTGAGCCAAACAGGCCCTAAGATCATTTGCCTCTAACCATACTAAAACCATTCCATTGCCATAGATGTGCACCTGCCCCTTGGATTTGGATCTACTCCAAGCCTTGTCACATTAGGCCAGTTAGTGATCTAGTGGCCTATCAATTAACCAATTATTTAAAAAGGCATATTTGAGGCACGCCTAGGTGCATAGGCAAGGCACATTTTAGGCTAGGTGCCTCGCCTAGGTCCTAGGCACAACCCTTTCAAAAAGGTGCATGCCTGATGCACCTTACACTTCAGCCCAAGCGTACACCTTTTTAAAATTCTGTATTTTTTTTTTTTACCCTAATGGCTGGTTGGAGCTCCACCCCAGAACTGTGTGCCATGCTCCTTGAGGCAAGTCCAAACAAGTCCATGTTAAGGTCTTAATGTTATTCATTCGTTCATCCTATTAAAATATCTTCTTAAAAAGCAATTAAAATTATAAAATCATTATTTTTTGTGTAAAAACTAAGAATTTAAGACCCTAACATGAACTTGTGCGGACTTGCTTCAAGGGGCATAGCACAAAGGTGACTCATATAATCATAAATATAATATGTTTTATATCACATTTAGCTACGTTAATTAATGCAATTGAGGAAAAAAAGAGATTGTAGGTTTTACATGATTGAAAATGTTTTATATGTTTGATTTTATTTCTAAATTCACATTTGAATATACTTTATATGTTATGTATTTTAATTTTAGATAATATGTTTTTCAAAACATTTATTAATGTTTCAAAAAGGCCAGGCGCAAATTGACCCCTATGCGGCTATGCCTTTTTTGCGCCTTATGCTTTTAAAACACTGCAATTAACAATATACCCAGATTATAAAATGCTGAGTGGAAATAATCATGAACTCTTTCCAGTTTAGTACACAATTTTTACATCTTCTCTTCTGTTTACCTTTGTTGTTCTATGAATAATTAAATAAACAGAAAAACATGTCAATTTGTACTTGTGTCTATGCACGGTGAAAAGACAAAAAAGAGGCAAGAGGGAAAAGGGCATGACTTTCTTCTGGAATCCGAACTATCGAATGCCAAAATCTCTAGTATATGTAATTTCATTGAAGTCTTCATTCTTCCCAACCTAGACTTTAGTGAATTCAGGCATAATTTCACAAATATTACAAACTATATTCTATATTTCCATTTCATCGTCAACTCCTGTTTATTTCATGAGAACAAGACTTACATTCTCCTTAAATTGTCTAACCTTGCCTGTAGCTCATTGTCTATCCCACCATCCTCGTTACCCGTTGATTCAGCTTGTGCAACCTTCCTCTGTGCAGCTGGTGCAGTGACTGTTGCTGAGGGTGCATTCAGTAACTGCACATTAAACGAACATCCCATTGTTATCGTCACACAGATACACCCGTATATAAAGGAATACCTACATACATAAAGTGAAAAGACATACCTCTGAATTGGCGTCAATACCTATCTCATCAAGCACCTGGTTCACAAGCTCTTCTGTTTCTTCCTCTTCTTCATCCCCTTCCAAAGCATCATCAATTGCATCTCCCATAACCTCTGTGACCATCTCCATTTTCTCATTCTGCCTCTCAAATTCTTGCATTATCTTCTGCAATGATGGCAAGTTCATCTGTCTATTCATCTGTCCCATCGCCTTTGTAACACCTTTCATGGCCTCCCCCATTGCTTGTGTTGATTTCAACGTCTGAAAATTTTTTACCACAGCTTTCAGCTTGACAGGGTTAGTTCACAGAAACTTTCTTTAACTTGTGGACTCTGTACAACTTCATGGCCAAGAGAGTATTAACTGATTCTATGGTAAAAGCAACTAAATATCTAGAAGCCCCCAATGTGATTAATTCTGCATTAACTAAGCTGGTCATTGCACTTCTTTGCATAAGAACTTATGCTTATTAATTAGAAATTTCTCTAGACATAAGCAGGTGCCTCTATATTTATTAAACCTTTTTTTTTCAGTTGTTAAAAAAAGAAAAGAAAATTACCAAAGCTAGTTCAGAAATAGTGTATCCTATCCAAAACTCCAGAAACATAGAAAAAAGTTGACAAAACCCCATAAATTTGCTCAATAAATTGAAAGGAAATGATCACAGAATGAGTCTCATCAAAATCATGTAAAGACCCAGAACAGAAAATATAACCCTGTGCACCTGAATAGGAAGTAAAGAAAGCATTGAGATGCATATTTATAGTACAAGTGAACAATTTCTTTTACCTCATTCAATCCATTCAGTAATCATAACAAAAGAATTCAAACTTGTTCTGGACCTTCCATGCTTCCAAAAAAATCTCCAAATTATGTCTTCCCCATTTCTTCTACTGTTAAAAGGATCATTCACCATTGCTTGGTATAATGCTCAAATCTCATGCTGACAAGTTTACAAACTCATGCTTGAGTATGGGATGGCTACATTGTGCAATAAAATGACGAAGGTTAGATCTGCATCCAGTCCACCTTTCCCAAGACCCTGGATGGCCATGACTAAAATTGGGTAATGGCCCTTCTTTATTTTTCCGGCATTGCTGTTTATTCTCCAGAAAACATCATAGGAGGATAAAACATATAGAACAGCCAATAACAATCAGCTAGCCACAAAAAATTACATTGCATACTATATTCCACCTCCAAGTCCAATATAATTCAAAAGATAAAAATATAAACAAGCAAGAAGTAGCAATCTGAGTGGTGAAGAAAGTTGAGAAACACCAAGAGGGTATTTCAAGGCATACATGCAACAGAAAAAACAATAACTACAAAATGTACCTGAATTCTAAGAGCAACACCTTGAAGTTGCGATTTAAGCTTGTAGAACTTTTCGATCTGATGCCGTGTTCTAATGAGATCTTTTGCCATTATCCTCACGGCTCCCTGAGAAAGAAAAGACAATCAGCACAAGATTTGGTTCAGATGATCATCAAGCTTCTCCCATTTGGTCATTAGTTGTGCTACCCATATATACTTACCTGTAAAGAGACTGGGCCAAATGGGTCCTAGTATCTTCTCTTGTAATATTTGTTCTATTTTCCTGTTAGCTAATGGGCCTCTCTCAATGGGCCTTTTATTTCTTTTTGTTTGATCTCTTTATGTTACTGCCTAGCTGGCCGCCCACTTAAGGGCATACTTGTAATTATTTTAACATTAATTTTTAGTAAAAAAGGATTAGAGAAGAGAGGGAAGGATTACTCGAACCTTTTCTTCTTCTTCCTCCTCCTCTTTTCTCCATCTTCTTCTCTTGTACTGCTGCTCTTACTTTTCTTCCTTCTTTTTCTCTCTAATTTTTCAAGTTTACACCTATTTTTGAGGACTGGTTGACATCTTGGTATCAGAGTAGGTTTCTTTCTTCTTTTCTTCTTCCTCTTTTCCCAAACACCCTTCGATTAAGAGAGTGTATAGAGAGATAGGCTCTCTATAGCTCAAAGGATCTCTGGCCTAGTTGGTAGAGGGTTTGGAGAGTTTAAATCTGGCTGGATATTGCCAAGAAGTGGTGTTGTTTTGTTGCTGCCCAAAACCCTAGCTGACCAGAGATTTTCGAAGGTACAGGTAAAGGTGAAGCCTTGGGTGTGGCGCTCTATGCTTGGGAGGTGTCTTTTGACTCCTAAAGGAGGGCGGTTCAGGTTTGGAAGAAATTGGGAAGCTCTGGTAAGAGCGGCTGCATCTTCTCTCTTCCTCCCTGACAGCTGAACGGAGTAAAACCCTAGTTTTCAAGCATCTGGGTTCTGGTTTGACTTCAAGTAAGTTTATATAGACCAAATTTCTGGTTCTTTGATTTTCGTTTGATTAATGGAGCCATATAGAAGTGAGTTCAAGCAAGTGTCGGTTTTCGGCCTCGGCTCGGTAGATTCCGTTTTGACTGGTGTGACCACAATCAAGCTAGATGGGACAAATTATCTTGCTTGGGCACAGTCTATAAGAATTTATGTCTGTAGTAGAGGAAGGGTATCTCACAGGTAGTAAAGTGAAACCCGAAGAGACAGACCCTGAATTTGAGAAGTGGATGCAGGAGAACTATACAGTCATTGGATGGTTGGTCAATTCTATGCAACCTCATATAAGTCAGCATTATCTCTGGATGTCTTCGGCTAAGGAGATATGAGACAGTGTTACTGAGACCTATTCACAGAAGTTGAATGTAGCCAGAGTCTACAAGTTGAAAAGTGACGTGAAGAATCTAAGACAGGGGGAGAAGAGTGTAGCAATCTACTATTATATACTGAAATCCCTATGGCAAGAAATTGATGTTATGGAGATAGTTGTATGGGAGAGTAAGAATGATGCTGAAATGTATAGGAAGTTGGTGGAGAGAAATAGGGTGTTTGAATTTCTTACTGGACTCAACCCTGAGTTTGACATCATTAGGCAAAATATCCTCGCCAAAGATGAGGTTACTCTTTCCCAGGCATACGCTATGATAAGCAGTGAGGAGAGTAGGCAGCAGGTTCAGTTACAGAGTTCACCTACAGAACACTTTGCACATTCTGGAATAAAGCCAAAGGGTCCGACTGAGAAAAAGGAGCAGATATGTGAATATTGCAAGAAACCGAGGCATACAAAGGACACTTGCTAGAAGCTTCATCCTGAGCTTCTTCCTAACAGATTTAAGAATGACAACAGTTCTGAGAAGGGCAGTCAGGCAGGAAAGCCTAAGACAACTAATGTTGCTACAGTACCTAAAGGAGGAAATAAGGAGAGTGAAGAAAAATCAACCATTGAGCAGTTGGCAACAATGAAGGCAGATTTTGAAAAGTATGGGAGGCTGCTAAATCACTTGTAAGCTACTGTTTCTTCATATCACTCTTCCAGCAACACATCATCATCATCTGCATTTGATCACTCAAGTATTCGTGCTTCTGCAAATCATGCTTCAGTTTCAGGTAATCATAAAATCCCTTTGATTATTGATTCCGGTGCATCAGACCATATGACCAGCCTGTCTAATCTCTTCTGTTCATACCACCTTCTCTCTGGTAAAGAGAAAATATCCCTTGCTGATGTGTCTCTTGCTCCCATTTCTGGTAAAGGGGATATAAAGACCTCTGACACCCTTTATTTACCCTTTGTCCTTCATGTCCCTAAACTTAATAAAAACCTTTTATCTGTTAGCAGCTTAACTAAATCCATGAATTGTAGCATAATCTTTTTTCCCACTCATTGTGTTTTTCAGGACCTGCAATCTCAGAGAATGATTGGGAGTGGCCATGAGGCGAACGGAATATACTTGCTGGACACACTGGATAGAGCTTTTGGACCACCTCATGGAGTTGCCTTAGAGTCAGTCTTGTCAGAGTCTATTGACAAAGTCTTGTTATGTCACTTTCGGTTTGGTCATTTGTCTTTTTCTGCTTTGAGTCATTTGTTTCCCGATATGTTTAAGGGAGTGTCTTTATCGAGTCTTCATTGTGAGTCATGTGAACTGGCAAAGCATTGTAGACATTTTTATTCAATAAGCAATAAAGATCTCTTTCTCCTTTTCATATTGTTCACTTTAATGCATGGGGGCCATATCATTTGCCAATTATGGGGGGTTACAGGTACTTTATCCTTTTTATTGATGACTACTCTCGTTACACTTGGATTTATCTCATGAAATCCAGGGATGAAGTACCAGCTATTGTGCAAAAATTTCATGAACTCATCCTCACCMAGTTTAACACTCGGATCAAAATATTCCATTCTGATAATGCTAAGGAGTATTTTGAGAAAAACCGTCTCCGCCTATCTTGAAACTTTTGGGGTTATTCATCAAAGTTCTTGTTCCTACACTCCACAATAGAACGGAGTGGCGGAAAGGAAGAACCGACATGTGGTTGAAGTTGCCAGATCCCTCCTGTTTGCATCCCATGTTCCTATAAAATTTTGGGGAGATGCTGATCTTACTGCTACCTTTTTGATCAACCGTATGCCCTCCCGGGTTCTTAACTTCAAAACCCCCTTTAGCCTTCTCTTCCCGGATGATGATATTTTTTCTCTTCTTCTCCGTGTTTTTTGGTGTACTTGCTATGTGCATGTTCACAGCCACCAAAGGCACAAATTTGAACCTAAGGCTCAAAAATGTGTTTTTCTGGGATATGCCTCCACACAGAAGGGATATTGCTGTTTTGATCCAGTTAGTGGCACCCGCTTTGTATCTCGGGATGTCACATTTGCTGAGTTGACTCATTTCTTTAGTATTTCTCCTGAGGGGGAGACATCTGAAGAACCCTTTGCTATGTCTCCAGCTGTTCCTCTTCCCATTCCTCGAGTCCTCTCATGAGGTGTCCACTTCTCCCATTGGACCTACCTCCAATATTCCAGTTCCTCCTCATTCTCCTATAAATCCTCCTCATCCTATTCTCCAAAGGTGGCACCAAAGGCACAGGTTCAGACATGAGCAAGTTGTTTCCACTCCTATAGAAGAGCCTCTTGCTCCTCCCATCATTACTGAGGTAACAGGTCAGCCTTCCTCTGACCCATCTACATCTTTCCCAAACCTTGACCTTCCTATT